ACACCCCCGCCGGCTGCAGGGGCCCCCCATCAGCTGGGCGGCACGGCCACCAACGGCGAGGGTCAGGCATGGCCCCAGGAGCCACTGTCCCCCGCCCCGGCTGTCCCCTGCGATGCCCCAGGTCCCACGGCAGAGGCACCGGCGTGTGCGTCCCCGGGCGGCGGGCAGGAGCCGTGCCGGCTCAGCGGTGCCGCGGGCGAGCACAGCGACTCCGAGGAGAGCATGGAGGTGATGGACATCGAGCCAAAGGTGGCCAAAACTCAGGTGAGAAAGCTCTGGTGCTGGGAGGGGAGGCGCCGTGGTGGGGGCTGCATCCGCGCCCCGCGACGGCAGGGGGATGCCCGGCTCGTTCAGAGACCCAGCCCCTGCTGGGAGGGATCCGGTGGGGCCGCGGGGCCGGGGTGGTCTGTGGGACACATCCAGCCTGGCGCAACGTTCCTCTGCTGGCAGATGGGGCTGGATCTGGCCCTCGACGCGGCACCAAGCGGCTGCCCTGGGGACGGCGGTGCCCCCTCTGGCTCCCCAGCCGAGGTGGGTGCAGCGGTGCTGCGGGGGGAGACGCCAACCCCCCAGCCGGACTCGGGCCTTCTTGGGTCCGCTTTAATCAAAACACGTGGTCTCCATCCCAGCCGGCTCGGCGTCACCTCTGTGTCTCTCCCAGGAGCAGGGCTGTCCCGGGATGCCGGAGCAGGACACGAGCCAGGACGCGAGCCGGGACCCCCCACCAGCAGCGGACGCCCCCCAGGACCCCACCGAGACCCTCACCTCCCTGTGAGCCCGGCACGGGAAACGGGCGTCTTACGCTGCCGCCGGCAGATAACTTTGTTTCCCCGTAACCATACCGTGCTTCCCGCCCCCCATCCCGTCCGAAATAAAGGCAGAAAAGGTGGCGAGAGGAGCACAACGATGCCGGCGAGGCCGAATCGCCGTCGTGCCAAAGCCCAGCACCGGCTGGGCTGGGGGGGCCACGGGGAGCGCCGGGGGGTCCCCGCCTGCGGGTTGATGGCAGCCAAATCCGGGTGCGGGAGGGATTTGTCACCCTGTTCTCTCCCAGCACCCGATGCTGCCGTGACTCAGGAAAAAGGCGTCGAGCCGGTTTCGCCGGCTGCTGGAAAATGTGCTGCCATGCAAAAAAACAAAAAAAAAAGCGATTTTTCCCCTCCGTGCTGCAAAATTCCCCCATTCCAAAGCAAAAACCCCATTGCCAATCGCCACCCCAGTGCAAGAGCTTGCGTTGCCGCCCCGATGCCCGGGGATGGGCTGGCTCCTCAGCGAGAGAAGGGTTAACAGGGGAGGGATTTCTGGGGTTTTATCATCTTGCAGCCGGACTGGAAAGGTGAGGCAGGAAAAGGGCAACGCCTTCGCCTGGGCGAGACTCAGAGCCGCACATGGTGCCGGCGGCCGCTTGCCCCGGCACAGCAGGCGCAGGTAAGAGCTGGGGTGGGGGGGATGTGGCTCCCCGGGCGGCCCCCCCCCCCCAAAATCACTGGGCCCCGGGGGGGGTGGGGGGGATGAGGCTCCTGGGGCGACCCCCCCCCCAAAAATTCACTGGTCCCCGGGAGGTTTGGAGGGGTTTGGATGCATCGGGCACGTGGGTTTGCACGGGGAGGCAACGGAGTCGTGCCACGAGGGCCGGCGAAGTGCGGCTGGTTTTGGGGAGAAGCTGAAATGTCGGCTCTCGGCCGGGTGTTTTCCAGTCGGATTTCAGGCGAGCGGGAAGGGAAAAGGCCTGATCCTGCTACGGTGCGAGCCAGAAAGCAGAGAAGCCAGCGGGAAAGCTGAGCGCGTCACAGGGCAGGGCAACACGTCGCTCCCGGGGGACCCATCCTGGGGTGACGGAGGAGAAATGGGGGTGAGCAGGCTGCGGAGATGGTTTGCTCATCCTGTCCTCCATCCGCCGGGAATGGGAACGGGAATGGGGGGCTGCGAAGGCGCTGCTGAGCATCCCCGATGTCAGGCTGCGCTCGACGGAGCTTTTCGGGAGCAAAGCTGCGGGGCGAGGAAGGTTTCGCTGTGGGAACGGCTCTTGAGTAACTTGGCCCGAGAGCAAGAATGAGGAAGATTATGGGTTTTTTGTTGGTTTTTTCTTTTACAACCCCTGCGTCGCTTTAAAAAACACACGGAATACGGCTCCAGCGTGCTGGGGAAGTGAGTCACCCACCCCCCACCAGCCCCCCGGCACGGCCGCCGCGGACGCCCGGAGGCTCCGACAGCGTGGCGGCTGGATCCCGGCCCGGCAAGGTAACCCTGGCGCTGCAGAATATCCCGTGGTTTTCCATGCCGCGGAGCACGGGGCTCCTTCCCGGCTGGTTTTGGCAAGCTCCTTCCCGTGATCCCAAGGCGGGAGCGGCGAGGGGGTGATGCAATGCGGGGAGCTTCGCTTTCACACCCGCTGATATTTTGATGCTGAAGCAAGTCCTTCCCCCAGCTCAAATTTGGTTTCAACCTTTGGTGGGTCCCAGGACTCCGTTTTCCAGCGGCTCTGGGCGTGAAACTGGTTTGTGCTTGCCGCTGGCAAAGCCGACGGCTTCCCAAGAAGCCCTCTCCCCGAGGCACCCGGCTTGCACCGGCTCCCTTGCCATCAAGCGGCGCCTTTTCCTCTTTTCCCTGAAATCCCAACCTTATGTTTTTGGGGAAATTTGACCCGGTTTTTTGCTCCAAAGCCACCCAAGCAGCTGCTGCTGCTCCGTGGGAAGGTTGCCGTTGGCTTTGGCAATCGCGTGTAGCTCCCCGACGCCTGGCCGTTGCTGTCGGAGGAGCCCGATGAGCTTTAAAGCAAAGCTGGGTTTAATGCAAAGTTGGGCTTAAAGCAAAACTGTGATTAATGCAAAGCTGGGTTTAAAGCAAAGCTGGGTTTAAAGCAAAGCTGGGTTTAATGCAAAGCTGGGTTTAAAGCAAAACCCTGATTAATGCAAAGCTGGGTTTAAAGCAAAACCGTGTTGAATGCAAAGCTGGGTTTAATGAGTTGGTGGCTTGTGCCAGCCTGAGCTTGAGCCGGGGGGGTGTTGTCGTGATCCGGGGGAGCTGCCGGAGACTTGGGGTCCCGGTCGCCGGCTGGCGGGAGCGGGGTCCCACGCCCGTCCGTGCACGCTGCTGGGAAGGGGGAAAATCATTTTCCCAAATTCCTGCCACTCTGTAAGCCCAAAGGTTTGCACCCTGGTAGCACTGGAAAGCCAAAGCTGCTGGTGTAAGGGATGTTTTGCAAACACCCGGCAGCACCGTGAGTCACAAGGGCACGGTGGGACAACCAGGACGGGGCCGGATCCTGGGAATTTCATCCCGTTTCCAAGCTCCGGGAGGTCGCCGGCAGGGTTAGCGTCGCCCCGTCCTCGTGAGATGCGTCCTGACGGCACGGCACGGCCGCGCACAGGCTCCCCGCTCCTGGCCCGCGTCCATGCTCCCGTGGTTAAATTTCCTCTTTTTTTTTAAAAAAAAAAAAAAAAAAAAAAAAAAAAAAAATTAATTTTTTTTTTCTC